GATGCCAACTGGGTTTCTGATAATGATAATGTAAGCTCTACGAGCGGGTATGTTTTTTAGGTGGAGCAACAATTTTGTGGAAATCATCAAAGCTGACTTGTATTGCTCGTTCTACCATGGAGTCAGAGTTTATAGCTCTTGACCTAGCTAGACAAGAAGCCGAGTGGCTCAGAATCTTGTTAGCAGATATTCCGTTGTGGGGAAGGTCGACTTTTCCAGTTTTATTGTTGTGTGATTCACAAGCTACGATATGTGTGGCTAAGAACTAAGCTTACAATGGTAAGAAAAGACACATTCACATAGACATGAATCAGTTAGACACTTAATAAAGAATGGAGTACTCTCTTTAAAGTATATGAAGTCGGAAAGGAACCTAGCAGATCCACTTACCAAAGGATTAAGTCGGAAGTGGGTCCTAGATTCGTCGAGGGGGATGGGTCTAAAGCCTATTGGTTGAGGAATTCATGGTAGATACCCAACTTAGTTATATAAGTTCCATGTGGTCAAACTAAACCTTGAAAAGACTCATAGTGCACATTCCTACTGCCTATCCCTATGATGAATAATGTGCATGCCCATGATGAGCTTAATTGCTCTTAATAAATTCATAGCCCAGCTTTGGGTGGTCTTAGTGAGAAAAACCTTATGAATTTATCGATTTTGGCTGAATATCTATTCTTAATAAGTTCATAACCCAGAGTGAGTGGGTAGTCCTAAGTGAGAATGAAATAATGAACTTACCGACAGAAAGGTTGAGTTTGTTAAACTCTTAATAAATTCAAATCCAAGTATTTGGATGGTTCTAGTGAGAAGGACTTATTGAATTTACCGATAATTGAGGATGAATATTTATTTTTAATGACTTCTTAGCCCAGAGTTTGGGTGGTTCATTAATAATGAACTTGAAGAAAATCACCATACCCTTGCTATTATAAAAGCTCTTAATTATTTCATATCACTTTTAAGGGTGGTTTATGTTGAGATAAACTTGATGAAATAACCTATGTAAGTGAGAAGGGTTAGCCGCCTTCTATGAAAAATGTTGGGCCATTTTTCTAGCACACTTACTAGAATCCTGAGGTAAGATGGCCAAAGATATACTTTTGTATATATATATATCTTACACATTGAGGACTCGGGTAGATGAAGGGGTTAGTTGTGTGTTATGAGTTTACCCCTATCTTCGAAAGTTCCAGACTAGTTTCACTTATCTAAGAGATTGATTGATCATCATCACTATGTACTAGTTCCAGATACGTTCACTAGTGCTTAAGCAACTAATCTCGCTATTGCTCTTCTGGAAAGATTATTTTCGAGTTTCAGAAGAATTCTTTCGCATTAGTGAGGGAATGTTGGTAATGCTCAATCCCACATAGAGTTGAAAATACTAGTGGGAATGGTATTTAAGGTTTACATTCTCCATTCCCTTGTTGAGTTATAGAGAACAAGGCGTGGTAATACGTGTCTTTGACACGCTCACACGGATACTTTCTTCTTTTAGAGAAAATTCGTAAGAAATTTTTCTCTGAAAGATTAAATGAAAAATGTGAAAGATTCATCTGATATTTATAGACTACTGAGACTGTTAAAGTTTGAATATTTCAGATGATAACAACTGATTATTAGTTGTCTGAAATTAAATAAATTAAACAGTTATTTTTCTAAATTAAATCAGAATTTAAGATGTATCTGGACTGATTTCCAGCTTTGTTCATGGGAGAGACAAGCTGTTAATATCAGGAGTTATATGATTTAATTTCAGGAGTTATAACTGTTTAATTTTTATGCAATGAACATGAACTCTTTTTTTAGTCAGATTCATCAAGAAGAGTTACAAAATGGGTTTAAATTCAGAATTAAAATCAAATTTAATTTGATTTTCTTGTTGGACGGATTTACCCTTACTTCTAGCCTATAAATAGATAGCTAAATTCAGCTTCTCAACTCACACTCTCTACAATTAGAATTCACTCCCCAAGTGTTTTCTAAAGTGTTCTCTCTGTTCTTTCCGATCAGAAGTGCAATACCACCAGCAGTTCTCTCCGGTTTCGAGTGTACGGAATTCGGAGCGACCGTCTTAACCTCGGGGATGGTCCGCCTACTGCAGCGATTACACACATCGGGGCGAATTTGTTTCTAAGACAGTGGTTAATATCACGACACAGTTAATCGGTTCTTTATTTATATATTTCAATATATATCTTTCCTGTCAGTTCTAATGCATCGTTTTGCAGCAGTCTATTTTACTAACAGTCTTTTTTATGGAGACTAAATTGTAAAATTCAAGAATGGAAAAGGTTCGGAGATCGTGTGGGTTTGCACACGGTATTGAAGTGGAAACTCGAGGTACACGAGGTGGTTTGTGTTTGGCATAGAAGAATACATGTGATGTTATATTGCTCTCTATTTCTCAAAATCACATTGATATCATAGTAATAACAAATGAGGATGGAATTTCATGGTGATGTATTGGCTTTTATGGAGCGCCGGAGGAAAATCGGAGGATAAAGTCTTGGAATTTGTTGAGAAGTTTGAATGATTGCCCGGAGATTCCATGGTTAGTCATAGGCGATTTCAATGAAATTATGTTTGCTTACGAAAAAGAAGGGAGTTTGATTCGAAGCAAGAGACAAATGAGAGACTTTAGGGACGCCATTGAGGAGTGTGACTTGTAGGATGTGGGATACACGGGACCCTAGTATACGTGGGAGTGAGGAAACAGGGAAGCAACATAATAAATGAGAGGCTTGATAGGGGTTTGGCAAATAATTATTGGTTGTATTCGTTTTTGAGGTTTTCATTGACATATTTAGTGCATAGATTTTCAGATCATTGTCATTTGCTCCTCAATACCAATAGTGGTAATACACTTATGCGAAGATGACATTTTATATTTGAGACATCTTGGCTATTGGACATGCGAAGCAGAAGTGATTCGACTTTGGAGTACTGCAGAGGGATTAGTTCCTGATAAATTGAATTTTGTGTGTCATGGCCTTGATCAATGATTTAAGAACATTTGCAACGAAAAAAGAATTACGAGGATAGATTTAAAGAAGAGAGTAGAAGACTTAGTTGAACGAGATCCCACTGATGAGATATTGGGCGAAATCATACATATTAAAATTCAATTATATAGGGAACAGCGAGCAAGAGCGAATTGGCTTCAGAATGGGGATCAAAATACAGCTTTTTTTCACATATTTGCCTCCCAGAGAAAGTGTCGTAATAAAATTAACTCGTTTGTGTCAGATGATGGTGAGGTGATTGATAGTGAATTGGAACTGGCTCGAATGGCGAAAGACTATTTCCAATCATTATTTACGACCACGTTTACGCAGGTGTATCAAAGGATCATCGAAGGGGTCGAAGCTTGTGTTACCGAGGATATGAATGCTTCTCTTGAGAGAGACTTCACAAATGAAGATGTTATCTGAGCAGTAAAGTCCGTCTGTCCGCTAAAAGCATCGGGAGAAGATGGTTTAGGTGCAGTTTTTTATCAACATTTTTAGCATGTTATTGGGCAGGAAATATTTAATTTCAGTCTTGGTCTTTTGCGGAGCGAATTCGATATGAGTTCAATTAACCATACATATATCGTCCTCATTCCAAAGATAGCTAACCCTAAGAATTTGAGTCACTTCTGGCCGATTAGCTTATGTAATTTGCTAAACAAGATCGTGTCCAATATGTTGGTTCAAAGAATGCAAAGTTTATTAGATGTTTGTATTGATGAGGCTCAGAGTGTGCTTCTTCATGGTCGGTTAATTTCTGATAATATTCTAACAGCCTATGATCTATTAAATTCTTTTCAAAATAGAAGAGTAGGGCGTATTGGTTTTTTTTGCTCTTAAATTGGACACGAGTAAAGCCTATGACAGAGTAGAGTGAAATTTTATATCGGTTGTAATGGAGAAAATGGGCTTTTCATCTGTTTGGATAAACTATTTGAAGAGTTGTATCACGATTGTTTCTTACTCGGTGAACGTCAATGGCTTGGCTGGAACATCTTTTGTCCCGCAAAGGTTCAACAAGAAGATCCGCTTAGTCCTTATTTATTCCTATTATGCAGCGAGGGTTTATCTGCTTTGTTGAGGCGTGGTATTTTGAGGGGTGAACTGCATGGAGTACGTATAAATATGTATGCCCCTTCCATTCCCATCTACTTTTTGATGATGATTGCTTAATTTTTGGTGAGGCCACAGCTAGAGTAGCGGGAAAAATCAAAGACGTACTTCTTATCTATGGAGGGAGTTCGGGGTAACTTATAAATTTTGAAAAATTTGGAATTTTCTTTAGCTCCAACACAATTGAGGAGAATCGAAGAGATGTTTGCAGAGTTCTTGAGGTCGAGAATGAATCTAATCTGGAGAAGTACTTTGGGCTGCCCACTATTATTGGTAGAAGAAAGAAATGAGCGTTTGCTTACCTATCGAGCAAACGTCGGAGTCGCGAGGGCGATTTCTTGAGCTCTGCGATTGGATCGTCGCCGTCGTATGTTTGGAGGAGTATTTGAGCGGCAAAGGGTCTTCTCTTGAAAGGCTTACGTTGGAAGGGTGGCACGGGTTCCTCCATTTCAATTTGGAATGATTTTTGGCTCCCAGTTTATCCTCCGAAGAAAGTTTCATCAGGCCCATAATAAAAATGTAGTATGGGTGAATGAGTTAATTGATGCAACTACTCAACAATGGAATAGTACTTTGGTCGAAGCTATATTTAGCGAAGAGGAATCAAAGATAATTGAAGGTATTCAAATTTCATGCTTCGAGCAAGTTGACTGAAGGGTTTAGAGTGGGGAAAAGTCTTGAGTGTATAGTATTCGCATTGGATATCGATTGTTTTTTGGAGAGACAAATTGTCCACAACAGATCAAGGCCGTTTTTAAGAACATTTGGGCTAATTCTTGTTAAAAGAAGATTCAGATACAGGTATGGCGTCTCTCTTGTAATTATGTTCCTACTAAACAGAACCTATACAGTAAACGTGTTATCAATAATCATATGTACTCGAAGTGTGTGCATTATGTGGAGATTGGAGTTCACGTTGTTCGGGACTGTCCTCAGGCAAGTTTGGTGTGGTCACGATTGGGTTATCAATGGTCGAATCATGTTTCAGATACAAACTGCTTGGAATGGTTTGGTTGGGTGCTTGATAATAATTCCAAATCTAAGCATGCAGAAATAATAACAACAGTCTGGGCATTGTGGTTAGCGCGAAACAAAGCATATCATAGTGGGAAGCAGATGAGTGATATGGACCTCCTTCACATACGGCAACTACATGGCAACCTCCGCCAGCCTCCATGGTAAAAATTAATTTCGATGCCATATTTTTTCATGCACACAGCAAAAAAAGTGGTCAGAAGCTGTTATTAGAGATCATACAAGACTTATTTTGGGAGTATATAAAAGGAGGGTGGATCATATTACCTCAGTTTTCATGGCGGAAGCAGTGGCAGTCGTTTATACAGCGCAGTTCACGGTGGAGATGGGATTTCGAAAAGTGGTGGTGGAAGGTGACTCAAGAACAATAACCGAAAAGTTGCGTTCACAATACCCTGATTTATCCGAGGTAAACGATATAACTTGGAAGGTGCGAAATCGGACAAAATTCTTCCTTGAATGTCGTTTTAGTTTCGTTCCTAGAGAGGGAAACAAAGCAACTCACTATTTGGCAGCTGATCAGGGTACAAATGATAGAGATTATTTCTGGGTAGAGAAAGCTCCTACCTATGTGAGTCGCAAGTCGATGAAGATAGAAGATGTGTTGATCTCCATTAATCTTTTTTCGAGCAGAGTACAGAGGTGTTGAGAGCTCTATCAGATTTTCCTTGCACTGAGCGTTTCAATTTCTCAAATCTGTTTTCACAGCAATGAGGTGGAAGGCCAGAAGTTTTTTGTTTTGTTTTTTTATTTTTTGCGTTACTTTTATTTTGGTTTCAGTTTCTTGTGCTTTTTGTTTTTACTGTTTTGTGAGACAAATGGGTTGCTTTTTTTATAATTTTAATTTTATTACAAAGATGCAGTTCTGCTATATAAGATATCCCATCAATGGGATAAAGAACAACTACTTACAATAAAAAGGATGGTCAACACCCCAACGATTACAAAGATTATTTTGTATACTATCTAATCTATTTATATTCCTTTCTCTTAATTGAATACCTACAATCTCATGAATGGAACTCATAATTTCTTTCTCACTTCTTTTGTTTCCTTGGTACAATCTTTTGTTTCTTTCCTCCCATATGGAATAGGTTAAAGCTCACCAAGCAAGTTTGAGGATAGTGGTGATGAGTGACTTACCTCTCTAAGAACCACTGGCCCAGTCTAACATGCTCACACATGGTAAAGTAGGAGTGCTTAAGCCGAAGTTATTCAGAATAGCCTTCCATAAGGAAATTTCCATAGAGCACTCACTAAACAGGTGGTCCCTAGTCTTCGTAGCTTCATTACAAATTATACACGAATCGTCGGTAATGATTCTCATTCTCAGTAGCCTCTCCCTAGTTGGGAGTCTATCCAAATTGTCATCCATGTAATCATGTTTTGTTTGGGGACGTGAAGAGGAACCCATATCAATTTGTGCCATGAGACTTTATCTTCTTTTACCTGTAGTTTTTTCTAGAAGTCTTTTGTCTTCTTTGCTCATGTAGATAAAATAGGGATAGCAACTGCTATTAGTTTTAGTAGGCGTATGATACACCAGCTAGATATCTTCCACTAACAGAAAGCCTGCGTCTTTAATAACGTAGCTATGGATCCAAGCTACCCACAGTGATCCCTCTCCCGCAAGGATGTTCCTGATAAGATGTATCATGCATGCATTGTTCCATGTTTTAATATCTTTTAATCCGAGTCCTCCTTCAGATTTCGCTAAGCAGATTTTCTACTCGCTAACTCTGGCTCCAGTGGAGACCTTATCAGTACCTTTCCAGAAAAATCTAGAGCAAAGTTGTTTAATCCTTTTAATAATAGTCTAAGGTATAATTAACTGTCTATACCAAAATTTTGCAATACTGAAGAGGACAACTCTGATAAGTTCTAACCTGCCGGCGAAGCTCAAGTATTTCCCCGACCAGTGATATAGTTTTGAGTTGATCTTTTCAATAAGAACCACACAGTCCTTTTCAGTGAGTTTCCTTGTGACTAAAGGAACCACTAAGTATCTCACTGGTAAGCTGCCGTGTTTGAATCCCGTGGATTGTAAAATATGCTCGAGATTTCTAAAGTTATTCCAGCATAATAAAGTTCACATTTGGTTGCATTAAGTTTTAGAGCAGACATTTCATAGAATTGGTCCAAGACATTGATGACTCCACAAACATATTCAATATTTCCTTTGCAGAAGATAAGTAGATCATCTGCAAAAGAAATGTGAGTGAGGTCGATCTTCTTACATTTAGGATGGTATCCGAACAAGCCTTTCGTAGCAGCCATGTTAAGGATTCTAGAGAGCATATTCATTGCAAGAACAAATAAGATAGGAGAAAGAGGGTCACCTTGTCTTATTCCCCTTGCACCCTTGAAGAAGCCTATCAAGCTTCCATTGAAAGAAACGGAGTATCTTGCTTCTGTAAAGCAGGTTTCAATCCAACCAATGAAAGTATTAGGAAGTTATAAACCTTTAAGCATAGTAGAAATGAAACCCCAGTGTAAAGTGTCAAAAGCCTTTTGTAAGTCAATTTTCAAGGCACGTCTAGGAGATATAACTTTCCTTCAATATCCTCTCACCAGTTCTTGGGCAAGGAATGTGTTATCAACAATATTTCTTCCTTTTACAAAAGCTAATTGATTGAGAGAAATTATCCCTGGAAGTAGGGTAGTCAACCTTTTGACTAGGATCTTCGTAATTGTCTTGTATATGACAGAGCAACAAGATATTGGCCGAAAATCTCTAACCTTGTTGGGATTAGGAACCTTTGGAACCAAGGCAATGGTAGTAGCATTGAAAGCTAGAATGATGAAATAAGTATTTAATAGCATTAACTACGTCTTTTCCAACCACTGACCAGGATTTTTGAAAAAGTAAGGTGTGAATCCATCAGGGCCATGTGCTTTGTCGTTTCTTTGGTTGAAAATTGCTTCTTGGATCTCTTCATCAGTTACTTCATTTACAATGTTAGAAGAAACATCTATAGGCAAATTAAATTGTAACAGATCTTTCAAAAGATTAGGCTCACAGTTTTTAAAGGCCGGGATCAGCATTACCTAAAAGACTTGAGTAAAATTCAGTCACTTCAGAAGCTATTTCATCAAAGGATTCAAGCCTTCTACCTTGGTCATTGACAAGAATTCGGATAGTGTCCCTTTTGGTTTTACCTGAAATAATATAATGGAAGAATTTTTTGCATTTGTCACCCTCTTTTAGCCATTTGACTTTGGTCTTTTGTTTTTAATACATGCCCTCTACTTCTTCCAGAGACAAAAGCTCATTCTGTAACATCAACTCTTTTTCAATAGTGTGTTCTCCTATTAGAGTGGAGAGTTGAAGTTGTTCAAGCTCGCTTCTCTTTTGACGCACACGAGCGGAGATGTCACTGTAACATTCTTTGTTTATGATCTTGAGGCATGCTTTTAGACGTTTAAGCTTCTGGAAAAGAATCTTCATCGGGTTTCCTTGAATAGTTAGTTGTCTTGACTGTTGAACTTCATTTAAGAAATTTGGATGAAGTGTCCAAAAGTTGAAAATTTTGAAAGGTTTTGGTCGATTTGCTTGAGCCTCTCTATTGATCCAAACCAGAGCCATACAATGATCTGATGCTCCAGGTGAAAAGAATTCCAAAAATGAGTTATGGAAAGTGTGTACACATATTGGATTGATAAGCACCCTATCAAGCTTCTTTGCAAGGAAAGATTGGTGTTGTTTGTTGCTCCAGGTGTATGAAGGACCAAAGAAAGTGTGGTCATAAAGATGTAGATCTTGAATGAAATCTTGGATGTCCTTCATGTATGTGGTTAGTAGTGGACCCGTAAGCTCGTAGGCTGAACTTTCCTTCGAATGCAAGATAACGTTGTAGTCTCCTCGTAATATCCATGGTAATGAACCAAAATGTGTTTTCAATTTGCGTAAATGTTGCCATAGTTGTCTTCTAGTTATACCATCATTACTGGCGTAAATAGTTGTAATTATCAGTGGGTCACCCTTAAAAGAGTTGCTGATAATAATGGATTGTGTTGTAGTGTGACAAAGAGAGATGTCTAAGCCTTTTTTACAAAGAATTCAGATCCTCCCATTTGAAGCAAATTCGTAATTTGAATAGGAATTCCATTATGTAAATTTGGAATTGAAAATTTCCGTTGATTTCTCCAATTTGACACGAGTCTCGAGTAAAGAATGACGACTTTATTTTGAATAGCCCTTTGCATGACTTTTCTTTGTTTTAGAGGATTATTTAATCCTCTAATATTCTAGAAGCTAATAATCATGGAGAATGAGGGCCCATTTCACCCCATTACCACGATATGTTGGACTGTTTGCTTTGTCTATGTGAAATTCCTTTTTTGATTTGAGGTCATTAACCAAATCTGCTACACCTAGAGAAGCTGAACGAATTTTCCTACCTTTATCTTCTATTGTTGGAGGATTTTCATCCACTAGATTAAGGACATCAAATCTGTTTTTGGATCCAGTGAAAGCTACTTTCAATTTGTCCTTAGCTGGCATTCCTCTGCCACGTTTGGGAATTGAAGGATTAGCAATTATATATTCGGTTGAAACATTAGGTTCGGTGGTTGTCAGCTCTTCTTCAACTGTTGAATCGTTGAAATTTGTTGGGTGGACAGCGTAATTGGCTCCTTCCATTGATGAAGAAGAGTCCAAATTTATTTGACTACACGTTGCAATAGCAACTTTCAGTTCATTTTGCATTTGCAGTCGGTCTGTTTTTGCATTAATTTCCTTTTGCATATTTTGATTTACATCATTGACATTGGCAGCATGTGAACCCGGTTCCTGCATTAATTCAATACCTCCAACAGTTTCGGCGTGTAAGGTAGTAGAATTTTCTCCCTTTTTTCTCCAAACTTACAAAGTTTCTCGGACAGTAATAGATTGTTCAAAGCATCCTTTCTCGTTATGCCCAAAGATTTTGCATTTTCTACAACGAGGGGGTAACCAGGGCACTTCAACAGTAATTGATGTTGCTTTCTCATTGCTAAGGATAACATCCACAAACTTAGGGATCTCCTTGTTCACCCCAATTTCAACATAAATTTTTGCAAATTCAAGTCTTGATTTGGAGGCAGTAATTGAATCCATGGATAATGTAACTCCTATAGCACTTGCAATGTAACTTAAACCAACTCTTGAAAAAAGTTCTAGAGGTATGTTATATAATGAACCCAGATTAGGATTCTCGATAAATCAAAATAGAGCCTTTTTAGATTTGGTTCCCATTTTCTGAGGATCAAAGGTTTGTTCAGAATATGCCAAGGACCGTTTTCCGGAACCCAATCTCTAGCTAATTCGGAATTGAAAGAAAAAATGTAGAGGTTGTTTCCAGCTAGACTAACCTTAACATGAGCTCCTTGCAGTGTCTTTTTCCAAAGATTGTCGACAATCTTTTGCATAGAAATAAAATTCAGGCAGCTCCAAGAAATTGCCCAACCAAGGAAAGTTTGCATTCAGCAATACCGGCATCAAAGACCTCAGGAGGAGGTTGAATTGAAGGGATCCCTTCTCGCGATTTTGGGGGAAAGTACTCTAGTTGTTGCCCTGTTGAACACCCAAACAGTTTCCTCCAGTCCATTGAAGGGGTGAAAATACGCTATCAAGAAAGAAGAAAGACATGAAAGGAAATCAGAAGGGAAGTCAATTGAAATCACCGGAGAAACGACGGGAATCTCATTTTCCGTTAGGCCCGCTAACGTGCACCCAGAGAATCTCAGCCCCCAACTCGGAAGATCAACATCTTTTTATTTATTATATCAGACCTTATTTTCAAAAAAAATACATTTTAATTTTTAATCTTACGTTTTTTTAAGAAAAAATTGAGTTATTATCTTACAATTTAAATTTAAATTTTGATTTTATATTTAATTTGTATATTATTATTTAATAATAGTTTTTAAATTAATGCATGGTGATTAGATGAATGCAAAATATCTTGTCCGTCGGATATTTGATGCGTGTTGGACAGAGATGAACCTACGTTATAAATAGAAGGGGCACATGCTTAAATTATGTATCAGTTGAAAAATTATTAGAAGGACATAGTTTATCGTATCATTCGTGATTTTAGTTAATAAGATCATTTATTTTATTTTTTTAGGATGAGTATTCACTTCTTTATTATATATAAATAAAGACCGATTAGTTACTTGAAACTTACATCAAGATTAATAGATTTTATGGATTGAGAATTTGAGACTACGATAACACGATGAGTCATATTTATTTAATAATTTTTCATATTGGTTGGTCCAATGAAACAGTAAATCCGGCTAAATCGAGCCCAATTGGTTCATCACTCAATCAACCCCAATCAGGAACGGGCTTGGTGAGCCAAGCAGCAGTAACCTTGGTGAGCCCTCGGCTGATCACAACAGCAACCATAATCGTGCGATGGCCAAAGCAGCGATGAACAGTTACCGGTTTTGGACCGGCACAGAGGTAATCAATCGGATTATGGGGTTACAACAATGGTTCCGAGAAAAGAGGAAGGGAAAGAAATGGAAAAAATTGGGAAATTACAGTACTGGTCTTTCATGGTTTGGTAAAGATTTAATTTGGTCCTTCAATTTGCAATTTAAGCATTAATTAATGTAGCACAATAGCTTCTGAATGCCTCATCCGCAGTGAAGAACTTGTCACAAATGCAAGATTATACGAAACAATGGAATGCATTACTCATCTTCAACCTATAGCCGATGAGAAAACCTTCGTTTTTCGCTATCTAATACACTGACAATGTATAAAAGCTATACCCTAAACCAGATAATGACAAAACATTACATGATCTAGATGCAGAAGCAGCGATATAGATTAGAAGTTTCAGTTCACAAGACCTATAATCCGTGCAGGTTCGGAACCGATGTCTCCTAGGATAGGTGGGGCAGTGGGTGCAGAATTCAAGCAAGTACAGCAAGCACTCACGAATGCATGCAATTGAAGGCTTTGTCCACATTGAAGGAATCCCGCACCGGCAAAGTAGGCCGGCCATGTAATGCACATGAATTTTGCATTTGCTTCGGGTGCATTATAAGCCGGAAACTAAACCAGCAGGACAGAAAGCTGGTGCAATACAATGTTATAGACCTCACTATGATCGCTGCGAGAAATTCGTCCTTCGATCCAAGACAGCCATCATCAACAGGGCTTGCTCCCGAATATGCATTAAGTAAAGCTAGGGTCCATAGCACAAACTCTTCTAACGGTGAAAACCACTTACACACCATACATTTCACTTTTGCAAATAAAACACTTGTGAACAAAAAAAAGCAAAACAAAGGCAACGGTTTCAATAACATCCGTATACCTCTATCAGTGTAGGATCTCTTATGCTCACCTTTATCTTTCTATGATCCTCTAAGTGCAATTTTGTTGATGACAGGAATAAGGTTTTGGTGACTTTTGACGGTTTAATCTTTCTAGTTTAGACGAAAAGTCGTGGCCCGTAGTTCTCTAAAGCAAATAGGGCACAGCCGATACAAGGGATATGATGAATATTGGTAGAGGCTGACAAAGAGATTCAAATAGAAAGAGAGTTCCTCAATCTTCATTCTTGCATGATAGTTTATATATCTCTTAATATTGGTATCAAACCTAAGGTGAAAATGATTATTTATAAGTTGATAGGTAGAAGAGCTGATCAACGTATTGTAAATTTAGCCATAATGGGTTTGACAGTGAAAATGTCGGATTCTAGTACTCAAATTTTCTAAGAATTTTAGAGGCCTCAACATACATAAGGATATACAACAAATTTAAAAGACAATTAGGCATTGAAAATAAGAAAATTCAAAGCCCCAAAACAGTTGAAAAACAAAATAAATGAATATATATATAATAAGGATAATTAAGTCTACAAAAGCAGAATTAGGCTACATTGCTAACATTTATATTAACAACCAATACACTACTAAGATGGAATCTTAGTTTATTGGATTACCATAACTTGAACCAACAAGCAAGCAGCCTCCGGTGGCTGCATAAACTTCAGAAGGATCGAGAACCGGAGACGACGACCCACCACTTCTTGCACCACCCCCACAACCATCACCCCCATTACCACGGCTGCCTGCACCACCACCTAAATTCAATTCAGACATATTAGGGAACACATCTCTTCCTTCAACTCCTTGGTCATAAAGAAACCCTTTGAACACACGTCCACCAATCTTAACAACTGCTTGATATGCAAACTCATCGTCACCATCCTCCACCGCTGTCACTCGAACACACTTGAATACCGCCGGCGCATGTACTTGCCCCGGGAGTGCCTCTTTGAAGCCTGCATATGCAAATATTAACTCCAGCAGCAAAATCCTAGCAAAAAACAAATATATATATACACATATATATTGAAGCTAACCTTGGTTACTTGAGCTAGTGTCGAGACTTCTAGTAGTGTTTGAAGTCGATGTATAGGAAGTAGTAGTGTTCTGCGAAGCTATGAGCCTCGGTTTCTTGGCACCGGAAGTCGACCCCGATGAGCCAGCACCGGCGATGGTGGCGGAAGCCGCCATGAGCTGCCGTTCTCTTCTCCTAGCAGCAGGCACCCACGTGCTCTTCACGTGAGTAGGGCAATCAAAACCTCGACTTTTACAACATGTTCGACATCTCCTATGGGAACAGCCTTTCTTAGATTGGTTCCCGCAATCTTGACACGTGGTCGTCGAGCTTGAACCCGAACCGCCACTTGCATCACCTCCAATCCCGCCGCCGCCACTGCTTTGTATCAGATTATTGTTGTCGGGGAACGAAGATGGTTTCTTAAGATAGTCGTGAGGGGAAGAATTTTGATTCTGCCATAGCTGCATCCCACTGAACTTGCTACGACCATTGTTATTGAACAAATCAGGGTCGTCCACATTTAGCGGAGCTAAACATGGAGCCGCTGTAAGAAGCGGGAAAACGCCAACGCCGACACCAAGAGCGGTCGAAGCATTCGGACCGCTGATTTGGTCGTTCGACATGATGGGATCTTGAGTATGGTGGTGGTGATGATGATGGTGGTGGTGATTAAACGACGCCGGGGCAACAACGACGAAATCCCGGAGACCGACCATCCCCATTTCAGGGGGAAGCCCGTAGTTGACAGAACGAGCTGAGGGTGGCCATTGAGTGTTGGTGGATCCAGGGGGAACGGCGGCGGCATTAGCATTGAAGCCAAGGGAAAGGTCATCGGGACCAGCTCGGATTGCTGCGGACGATGAAGTCGCCCAATCTGCAAAGGCTCCTCCAGAGTCCGACAGCAGTTGCCTTCTTGTGGTAGCCACAATGACGATGATAACAACAAAACTATTACATAAATAAAGATATCTCCTTCAGTAGCTAAAAACTCAATCTTCACAAACATCAAACATATATATATATATATATAAATATATATATGTGGATGTTTATATGTGTGTGGGGTCAGTCGAAATCTCTGAAACTAAAGCAGATGAAGATAGAAGAAAAGAGAAGGTTTTTAGCATATAAAGAGAGGTTGGTGCAGCTTTAGATCTCTTCTTCTTCTTTTCTTCTTTTCTTCTTTTCTTCTTTTCTTCTTTTCTTCTTGCCTTTCTGAGAGGGAGAGTTGCTTTGAGTTTTATTAGGGAAAAAGCAGATGAAGATAGAAGAAAAGTCTGTTATTTTGATACATGAAGAGTAAGAAAAAAAAAAGTAAAATTTAGCCGCAAGCTCTTACACTGCTGACCTTTTGCTGCTACGCTTCCATTTAACTTGGATAACAATAAAAAAGCCCAAACTATTTATATAGCGGCGTTTTTTCTCGAAAAATTATTGGTGACCGGTATATTTATAGATCCAACACTAATCAAATTATATTTTTTGATTTAACATTCGTAGTAGTAAAACGCGCTCTCTATCCTGCGTTATATGTTGATTTAGTGCTACGTGGGGTATAACGCGCCCCCTGTACCGCGTCATATGCTGACATGGTTTACATGTAGATATAGCGCGCCCTTGATCCGCGCTATACGCCACGTAGGGGTATAGTGATGCTCTTGCTCAGCGTTATACCTGGGTATGAATTATATTTAGCGCGGATTCTGGTCCGCGCTATACTTTTTATCTGAATAATTACATATAACGCGGTGCAGGTACCGCGCCTTATATGGTTATAAATACCCTTCACTCCCGGTTAAGTTTCTTACATCTCCTCACACCTCTCCTCTCAACTTATAAATTAATACAACAATTCCTTCAACGAGTAATAATTCTGGTAATTCCGTCACGGTCCTTCTCCTAAAATTAAATAATTACACAAATTAATTCTTAATCTAATAATCATGTATTAAATAAATCAAAAAATTATTACAAATAATTTAAATTAAATTAAAACGTTAAAATGTTACCGTATTAGCAAAGTGTAGAGATATAAGATTTCCATCCAAGCGAAGTAGATTGTCATTCATTATATATCTGCAAAAAAAATATTAGTAAAATATTAAATAAAGTAAAATGTTTAAATAAATTAAATAAAAAATATTATAAAATATACCTTAAATAAAGAGAGTTTTGAGAGAATTTGAGATAATATGGTGTGATGAAAGTAATAGAGGATGGGGTATTTATAGGGAGGATTGTGGGGTAATTAAAGGTATAGCGCGCCCCCTGTATCGCGTTATACCCCACGTGTCAGATAAACAGATATAGCACGGATCAAGGGCCGCGCTATATTCTTACGTATAAGTCATGTCAGCGTATAGCGCGGTACAGGGGCGCGTTATACCTCACGTGGTGCCAAATCAGCATATAGCGCAGAGAAGGGAGCGCGCTTTACTGTTACGGGTGTTAGATCGAAAAATATAATCTGACCGGTATTAGATCGATAAATATACCGCTCACCGATGATTTTTCTGAAAAAAACGCCTTATATAGCTTTTATATATATAAAAAATCAAATAGTCTTTTTACTTGAACTTTTATCAAAATATAATTAATAATATATTTACCAAAAAAATAATTAATAATATATAAATACATAAAAATATTTTTATAGTTATTTCAATACGAGATAGTTCCTTCCTAAACATGAATTTCATTTGACCAAAATTATTAATTCAAACTAATTTAAAACTAAACATTATCTAATTGAATCAAATAAGAAGATGTCAAATATAATTTCTTTTACCATCTATATTTTCAGTATTGCATTATGATAAGGCATTTAGGGTTTAGTATGTTCCCCCCCTCAATCGATTTTTCATTTTAGTTATATTTTTGAGTAATAATTTGAAGTAGAGTATTATTCATCTATAAAGAGACAGAAACATATTGTTTTTATTAAATTTAAAATAAATAAACGATTTTTTAAGAAAAATATCATTTTAATCATATTATTCTCAGCGTTTTAAACTTTTTCATCAAGTGGGTGAGCATGTTAAATATCATTAATCTCGAGCACCGTGTCCCGTCCTCCTCGCCGTGGTCTTTACTCTCCATCTATTTCCTCTTTTAAATTAAAAAAAAAAATCAAAACGCTTACAATATCTTAATTTCATTTGAAAATTAAAACATGCGATATCAATTTATAAGTTAATATTATTATTAAAAATTAAAAAAAAAACATATATTCAATAAAAGAAGTGAGGCAAACAATTAAAGAAAGCGGCGGTCGACGCAACTGTCTGCCTGCCATGCATTGCATTATTCCATTCCATCTCCCTTCTATTTTTTCATATTGAGGCGTGTAGGACACGCGTTGAGTGAGAGACCGGGGGGAGATTAGGAGGGTAAAAGTGGAGGTGGTGTGGTGATATTGCATCACAGCGCAGATCTACAAATACTAGTTGAAAAATGGAAACCATAGTGGGCGGCAGAGCTGCGAGCGTAGGACGTAGGCCTAGAGAGCGTAGCCGCATAGGGGCATGGTAGGGTTCACATGCCCAGCAAAATCCCATGTAACGCAAAACTACCAGTTCTATTTTGTTTTTCAAATTGTTTATGAAAAGGAAAGGAGGTGGGTAATCAAAGTCCTCGAGCCCTGTGCCACATTCATGATCATTCCCCCTCTTATATATTTCATTTTTATTTATTATAAACTAATTTTTATTATATTGTCTTTTTATATATTCTGATTACATCGTATTTGAATTTTGTGCATGTCTTGTACAGGAAGTCTGGTGATAAAATCTCAACATTTGATCCATTTATTAGGAAGGATTGAATGTATATTATTTTATAATTATTTCATAGTTTAATTAAAAAAATATTTATTTAATTTATTAGAAGTGGAAATATAAGAAATAGTGGATACAATATTGTTGTGGGAGAGGAGTAAAAAGAAACTCTTGCCGCCGATTTAGGAGCGAAGCTATAGGTGGAGAAGCCTAGAAGATTAGTAAGCAGCAGTAGGGTTTATTAGTATCATTTAAAAAGGGTTTAATGATCAAATAAGTCTTTAAACTATACTTTTTTTTATCAAATAACCGATTATATTTTTTTAACAGGATGTTTAACGTTACAAACATTAGTACTTTAAGTGTCCAGGCCATTAACAACATTAATTTTTTTAGTTAAATGACACATGTCACAACTTGATAATTTAAATTTTTTATATAAAATTTAAAAAATAAAATTATATTTTTTAAAAAACACACATAAATTTCGAAATAACACCTAAAGTTTGAAAACTTTCATTTCAACCCTTAAACCCACGCCGACTATAGCCCTTTGCCGTCGAAGAAGCTTCACCCGATCTCTCCTCCATTAACGACCAAAACTCCTATGAAATCATGATCATTTGACGACCGATCGACGACAAATCGACGATTTAAATTTCGCGAACCCTAGGATGAAAATTAGATTCCGATGGTGAATCGACAACAACTGCGGCAGCAAAGGATTACGTCGGCGGCGATGATCGTGGCCAAAGAGGAAGACAATGATGGGTTAATATTAGGATTTTTTATTTTGGGATATTTTATAATATAAGAAAAGTTAGATTTTTTTATAAATATAATAATATTTTTTAAAAATAAATTTCAAAATTTTTATGTTGTGATACATGTCACTTAACGGGAGAAACCAACGCCGTTGACGGCCCAAACACCTCAAGTGCTAACGTTTATAACGTTAGGCGCCTGAATGGACTAAAAATAATGTAAACACTTATTTGACACAAAATATATAATTTGGGCATTAATCCTTTAAAAAGGTTAATTTCTCTTTCACGTCTCTATTTTTTTTTTACTTTTAGAATTCAGTCCTATTATTTCTATTTCTAAAATTTAATTCCTCTATTTTTCAGATTTAAGTTAATTTATTGTACAATAAATTTATGATAAAATAATAATATTTCCAGAGAATGATAAATCATATTAAATTTGTACAATCTGATTCGATTATGTTTGATATTTAATTTAATTTAATTTGATTTTGTTTTGATTTGATTTTTATTTTAAAATTTAAAAGAATATACAGAATTAATTACATTATATGTCTCTAAACTATAACTTTTATTCTAAAATGATCTTCAAAATTTTAAATATTTTGAATTCATTCCTAGATTATGAATCTTATTATAAATTGATCATTGAAATTTTCAGCATTATAAATTCATCCCTAGACTATGACCCTCATTATATATTGGTCCCTAAACTTTTGTTTGTTCCCACTTTTAAATAATTTGAAGAGATACTATTGGAATGTTCAAAACTTTAAAGATTAAATTAAAATAAAAGTTAAATTTTGAGAACGAATTTCAAACGTTTAAAATTTTGAGATTAACTTAGATCGAGTCATAATTTTGATATAAAATTAGAAGGTTTAAAGATTAATTTAAAATGAGAATAATAATTTTAAAATATGTAATACAATTAATTTGAATGAGTAAGAAATTAAAAAATATTAAATAATCGAACTATTATCCACTTTAATAAAAACTAATTAAACTTAAATGATTCTATTTAAGTTAACATTAATTAATTTACCATCTGTTGGGCTTCATTGTAAAATAGAATGGTCCCCTCGCCTCCTAGACCTAGGAAGTAAGGTGCCCCTAAACCCTATGAATAAGCTTATATAATTTGCCTATGCTTTTGCAGGTGATGGTGATCGGCAAAGGGTGAAAACAATGGTCCCCTTCCTCTAAAGTAAAAACAGGGTACTTTTGGGTTAGTTTTGGGCCCTTCTTTCCCTGTTTTAAGGGATGGGTACCCTATAGACTTCATAGCCTTTTATCTACTACTTCTAGTCCTACTGTTAGTATTATATGATCCATTTGAAAATAATATCAGCTTCTATATATTTTTTTAATTGGATCCTGTCATTGTTCCCATGTCAGCAACATGTTTACAGAAATATTATTTTTTTAATAAAATAATTATTAGAATTTTAAAATTCATCTACAATGTTGAAAATTATTTTTCCTATTAAGCACGGGATAGAAAAAAATCAAATTAACATGTCACCTCAATCATTGCTAATTTTTTATTATATTTTTATTTTATCAATCAATTTTATTTTTAACTATATAATAAATCTAAATAAAATTTAAAGTCACATATGTATTCTATAATGATATATATGTATTTCGAGGGCGAAATGAAAATTCTCTGGACGCACATTAGTTGGCCTAATGGGTCTCCAGATTTTCTTCTTCGCTTCTGAACTTTTCTTCGATTTGGCTAATCACAGTCTTCTAGTTCTGTTCTTTGCTCTAATTTTATGGGTTCGAAGTCCTTGGGTTTAGTTTGCTGAAGTTGAGGGAAGAGGCTAGGAGATTGTTCCATCCCTATGCTAACTAGAATTTAATTAAAGGGAAGTGGATTTGGGACATCATTCGTGACAGCAGAGAGAAAATTAGCTGCCATAGGTTAATCTGGTTCCCTGGCCATATTCCCAAATTCTCTTTAATCTCATGGATGGTCATCCTTGATAGGATGCCTACAAAAGATAGGCTTGCTCGGTTTGGGTTGATTGTTGATAATGTATGTGGCTTGTGTGGTACTGGAGTGGAGTCTCGTGACCACCTTTTTATTGATTGTTCTTATGCTAAGGGTGTTTGGAGAGCTGTGTTGAGTGCTTGTGGTCTCTCATATGTGGCATGCACCTGGGTTGAGCATCTTCACTGGCTACTGGCTAATCTCAAGGGAAAAACCCTTAGAGTTCGTGTCCTTAAGCTTGCGTGGACTGGGTTTCGCTACCTTATTTGGGAGGAACGCAACCATAGATATCATTGAAATTTGATTCATTCGGTTGATGTAATTGTAAATAGGCTTATGGAGGCTATAAAAATCAAGCTGTACAGACATAGATATATGGATCTGAGGATGTAATTAGACACATTTACATGATTGTTTGTGATGTTTTGTAGCAGCCTCGACTGCATTCTTTTTTAATGGAATATAACTTACTTTACCATAAAAAACTATATAATAAATCTTTTGAATTATTTTGATCAAATGAAAGTTAAATTAAATATATGATAATGCAAAGTTTTTTTACGTTGGTGTAAACTATTTTTTACTAACGTGAACATTATTTATTGTTTATTTTTTTTCTACTTTATTATTTGATCACTTTAGATTTTGATAATATTATCTTTTTGTCTCTTATTACCATGTCCCTTTAGTTTTTTAAATCTATTTAAAATTTATGAAATTCAATCTAATATTTAGGGGAAAATTTTAATCTATAATCTTCATTGTTCGATAATATGAAATCATGATATATTACATGTCTTTTTCTCTCCCTTCTTTTACCATTTGAATTTAGAAGAAGATACTACAACACCCAAAAAAAACGAAACTAAAAAGTTAGATTAAAACTCGAAAAATAATAGTTTTGAGAGTATTTTCGCAAAATGAAAAGAGAGTTTTGGGACTTTTTTTTGAACTAGAAAAAATTTAAAAAATAGTGGTAGAGATAAAATTAAAAAGAAATTAAAATTTAGTCATCAAAAAAATAATAAGATCAAACTTGAGTGATGAAAAACATAATTTAATTAAGTGGATCTAATTAAAAGAATAATATATAGAGGGTTATTATTGTAATTATCTTTAAATATATAAAGTAAATTTATATTATTTTTTGAGTCGGATCAAGTCAATTTTTTTTTACCTTAAATTTAAATCTGACCTGAATGTGTTTTCTTTTTGAGTTTTGTAACAAACATATATATATATATATATATATATATATATAAAAGAATAAAATCTAATAATATAACTATAACATAATATAATAATTTAGTAATTCATATTTATTATAATAATATATTATAACTAGAGATGTTATAATATTTAAGTATTTATTATCAAATAATATATTATAACTATGACAATAAATAATATAAATTAAATATATTGGCATAATGATAAGAAATACACGTAATTTTTTACTAAATAGTTACTTTTGTCTCAATTATATTTTAGAAAATTTTGGCTCTAATGTTTCAGTTTTAAGCAAAAAGGTTTCCATTGATGGAAATCGTTGGGTAACATGAAACTTTGTCGTTCAAAATGCTCTCAAAAAAATGAAAAAAGAATTAAGTGACTATTTAATCAAACATTATGGGCCTTTTTTCCAAAAAAATAAAACATTAGGACCTAAAATATCAAAAAAAAATTAGACTAAGATGACTATTTAATTAAATATTAACTCTATTTTTAATATTATACCTAATATATTTTGACAAAAACTTATTATGAAAATATAGGCCAAAATTAACTCAAATAAATATAAACCCACTTTCAAATTTAGAGCCCAACCCCATTATTTGAATGAAACTCAGCTCAACCAACACCTCAAAGTCTCGGTTGATTTATTTATTAAAAATATATATATATATATAATTTCAAATACATAAAACACTCATGATGGATCAATATTGTCAGACAAATAATCATCTTATACTTCTCTCAAATTACATATTGCAAAAAATTAGAGGGTAAACTACATATTTAGTATATAAACTACTAGTTTTGGTTCGTTTTAATACCTAAACTTTCAATTTTTTTAAAACTTAACTTTAAATTTTGAACATGGTACTAAAACGAAACAAAAAATAAAATTTTTAACATTGGGGTATTAAAATGAAATAAAAAAAATAAACTTTAGATACGGTTTTTAAAAAAAATAAAAATTTAAGTACTAAAACGGTCTAAAACTGATAATTTAGATTATGAGTTTCCAAACTGCATTTAAGTGTTTCATGTTTGAACATAAATTGATAACATAACAAATTAAAAGAAATAAAATAAAATAAAAAATTATTTATGTGGAGACGATAATATCGATACTAGACTCAAAGAATATTGATAAAAGAGATAGCACTGACGAAAATAAAAACGATGATAATGAGATAAAGGAGATGTGGGCAATCATTGATAGCACAATATAATCATAGAAAACAAAGAACAATTTTTGAAGAAACTTAAATGTGTGATACATGCATCACGAGGCTTACATCAAAGGAAAATGGACAATGCTTACAATTGATTCACACGACCAAACCTTGGAAAAGAAGAACAAAATAGCAGTAGACTTATGACTGTTTTTTGAATGAGATCTTAATGTTATTTGGTTAACATGTCTTCTAGATTTACGACCGTCTGTCTCTTAGATTTCCAACCGTCTGTCTCTTAGATTTCCAACGGTTCTTGAATTGTATCAATATGATATAGGGAACTCAAGATACGCTCATTTTAGTAAAGATAGTACATGCAGAAGTTCTTATACGGGATTAATACGAAATTTTGTAAATATTAAGAATTTTCAATATTTTTATTGATTGTTTATAATATAATTTAATATAAGATAATACATTATCTTTTAGGATTTAGATTTATTATTTTATTAGGAATTAAGATAGAGTTAAAACAATTATCTTTAGTTTATTGTTATTAGGAATTAAGATAATATTGTTATTGTTATTATTATTTTCAAGCATGAGTCATACTACAACAAAGACTCCTTCACCCTATATAAAAGATTCTCCTTCCATCATTGTAATCATCAAGTTTTATTATTTTATTCAATACAACGAGAGTTCGTTTTTGCAAGAACTGATTGTCTTGTGCCTTCAAAGCTTCTTTTTCTTTTAGTTATTTCGAGTTCTTGAGAGAGAGATCTTCACACTTCGATTTACCTATTCATTGTGATTAGGAGGGCTCGTTAGAGCCGTATTATCGAGTTTTCCTTTTCATTGTCACTATAAGGGTTTCGATAAGACACTTATCCATCTATTTTCCATATTCTATCATCAAATCACCATTCTTGTCCATTATCACCAAAACCTAGTTTTGGCTTAAGTTATCTTTATCCTATTATATTGTTTATTTTTTTATTTTCGTTCTCTTTATTCTATCTTATTTATCATCATATTATCTATCTTGTTTAATTTTCTAGCGACCTAAAATCTACAAAACCCTAACTGTCGCACATCATCGTCTTACATCTTCCTCTTGTTTCTTTATCGAGTCTAGAGCTTTTTAGGTTTGATTCTTCAACGAGAACAATAATATTTCATTAAGGGAATGATAATAAAAAATTAAGCGTTAGTGAAAGAAAGAAATAAAGGATGATAATTAAACGAGAGTATATTATAATTCTAAAAAGGTCTGTTTGTTTGAGGGAAAACAATTCACGAAAATTGTTTTTTCCATTTTTTAATGTTTTATTCAAGTAAAAGTAATTGGTCAAAGGAAAATATTTTATGGTCAAAAGAAAATGACGCCTTATATTCGTAAAACAACTTATCGTGTGGGAAAGGGTAAGTTATTTTCTATTTTCAACTTTAAAGCTGTTAACCTGTTACTCGAAATCGTCCGATCATATACCACCACTGACATCTCACCGACGACGTTTATTAAGGCAAGCGCTCATATTCTCAGGTAACCAAAAATATTTATTACTCTTCTTGCAATTTCAATTTTTTTTGCTTCCTTGTTTCCGTTCCAGACCGATTCTTTTGCCTAGCCTCTCAACTGGGGATTTGTAAGTACTGTCTGATGATACTTTTAATATTAAATAAAATGATTGTTCTGATAAAAAAAATTAGTGCTTGAATGGTGAAATTTGTACCAATGATATGAATGAGCTTCATTAGTTATATATCTCTCAATGGTTAAAAATTAGGTTTTATGATTTTGGAATTTGGTGTTGTAATCAAATGAGGGAATTTCTAGTTATTTAAAAAAAATCAAAGTTGTTGTACAAATTAAAGATAAAATTGGATGGAAGTAGAGTTATGTAAGAGTTGATTCTTTGATAAAACTAGATAGCATGGATCATAGTTTGACATACATGGTGAATAATAGATAATTGGTTTATGTTCTTGTAGCTTTGTGTATTTGGGTCAATGAAAGACTATTGGTTGGTATAGAATGATGAACTTGAAAATCAAGTAAATACTGAAAAATGAAAGAGAAAAACCAGAATGCATGGTATTCACTTACCCTCGCTTAGGGAAGGGTACGGGACCCGAACTTGATGGGTTCTGACCCAACCTGATCAGATCGTTTTTTTTAAACGGAGTCGGATCGGCTCGGGTCGAGTCATGTTTTTAAGTTATATATCGGGTCGGGTGAAATCTTGTTTTGGTCAGGTCAGGTCGGCTCTCGGGTGGAGGATTCCTTGTTCTCGGGTCGGGTAGACAAAAAATCCGACCCAACCCGACCCATGCCCATCCCTACCCTCGCTTCATTGAAAGAATTATTATTGTTGTAACTAAATCAGTCTTTATATGCAACGTTATTATACACAAGTGAATAAATTGCTTGTAGTGGTAACTAGCATTATGTTCTATAGCTAAAGATGTATTTTTTCAATCAATTTATTCTATCTAATTATTTTTTCAATCAATTTATTCTATCTAATTAGAAATGACCATCCAGTTCAGTTGGTAAAGCACAAGGTTCTTAACTCTGTTTATATAGTAACATTTTTAAGTTTAATTTCTGGTTTAGATGACATCTCTCTCTACACGTTGTTATTGTTTCATTGTTTGGATAATATTATTTATTATCATCACTGTCTCTTAACTCTGTTCTAACGTTATATTATTTATTACCAATCAGTCGAATCAAAATTATATATATATATGATTTTGATGTTTTCATTGTTTCCTTATTTTCTACTTGATATTTAAAAAATTAACCCGATTGAGTGAAATTAAAACAAGAAAAATTATTGAAATATATGTATGTTAACTGAGAACAAATTTCGGAAATTGTTTTCA